CGGTCGTCGAAGGTGAAGTCGTGGATGTGATCGTTGTCGTGGCAGATGCGGTCGTGGCGGATGTCCGAGGATTCGTCAGTGGGTACGAGTGTACCCTCGTCCTCGTCGTCAGAATTGAGTTCCGGGGTAGCTGCGCGCGAGGGCTTGGGGCTGCCACCGTAGGTCTCGTCCTCGTCGTTGATCTCGTCTTCTCGATCAAGGTTGTCGTTGACTGCCTGTTCCTCCTCTTCTGGCTCTTCGTACGCCACGCTGTCTTCACGTCGGCCTCGGTCCTTGGCGTGAGTAGTGTCATTGTCACCCTCGCCGTCGTCACTGTCATCGTCCTCTGCACCGCCTTCTCGTCCCGCGCGGAAGGTCTCCTCTGACTCGTCAACTGTTTGCTCTCCGCTTCTACCAGTCTTCTCGCCGATAGTTGGGATGGCAGCCGACTTCGCCGTTGACAAGGATTTGTTCGCAGCCTTCTTCTTGAGGTCGGCCTTGATGATCTTCTGGAGACGCGGGCAGAACTTGTGCTCGATGGACTCAGCAACGTCGCGAACCTTGATAGCGTACTCCTTGGTGTACTCCTTCGCCGGGTAGAAGTCCAGACGGATCTTGTAGCTCCTGGCCTGACTATGTTCGCGACCGGGACCAGTGGTCTCAGTCACAGTGACCTTGTCGAGCACAGCCGAGAGTGGCAGACGGCTGATACTCTTGGCGAATTTGTCGTTGTCTGATTTAGAAAGCTCGGGATGGGGATATAGTTGCATCGACGGGGTAGAGATGTTCGCACTAGCAGTCATGACGATTTCTCGTAGACGGGGAATACCGAGTGTGACGTTCTTCGCAGAGTGACCAGCCAAATGGAAAGTGTTCAGCGTCATCTGTGTTGAGGGTTCACCAATAGATTGGCCAGCAACGACACCGACAGCCTCGCCAGGCTCGACCAGGGACCGCAGGTACTTGAGGTCAAGCATTTGCTCAAAGGTACGCTTGAGGATCTCGCCCTCCTCATCCTTCTTCTTGTTCTTGAGCAGCTTGTCGGGGTTTTGATCACAGTACTATGATCGTTAGCATCTTATGGTTGATCGGGATGAAGTAACTTACGTCTCGCTTAGCCTGTAAGAACAGTTCCGAAGTACTGCCACTATGCCTTGATGGCGTGTAAACGGCAGTGACAGGGTCCATTGCGGCCACATCACCCTTCCTAGCCTTCTTCGCCGCCTTCTTGTTGTGCTCAACTGCTTCAGCACTAGAAACCTTCGGGTAGGCTTCAGCAGTGTGGAGGGATTGGGCTAGCGAGTAGAAGTTCTCCGCCTGGAACTTGAAGTCGTTGAGGTACTTCTGCTTGGTTGTGTCGAGACCATCTTCGCCGTACAGGAATTGGACCATGGTACCATCTGAGTCGCGGACAGAGGTGTCGTATTCGACCTTGAGACCTTCCATACCCTTGATGATACATCTTTGCAGATAACCGGAGCGCGAAGTCTTGACAGCAGTATCGATGAGACCTTCTCTACCAGCCATCATATGGAAGTAGTACTCTTGCGGTCGAATACCAGTCAAGAAACGGTTGACGATGTAACCACCAGCGCGTACGCTCGTCTCGAAGGGCTTGAAGCACGGCAGTGTCTTACCAGAAATCATGACTGGAACTCTTCGGCCTTCCAGAACTTGTTGACCAAGGTTACATGAAATCTGGTTGGCGTTGACCATACTACCCTTAGCTCCAGAACCTGTCATGGCTTGCATTTGGTTCTTGGGGAATGGCTTAATGAGCTTATCGGGTAAGCAGGCTGAGGTAACCGCAGAGGAAATCTTGCCGTTGGCAGTGTTGGTGAGCAGATCCAGACCGTGCTGCTTTGTGTCGTCTCGTAGCACGGATTCAAGTCGTCGCCGTAATTCCGGGTTCATGGGGTCGATCTTCTCCGCGTCCATAGTGACGTACTTGGAGGCGACCTCGAATCCAACCTTCTCCGCTTTACGGAGCTCTTCCAGCCTGGCACGATCTCCTTCCTCTGTAAGGATCAGGTCCTGGACACCGCAAGAGAAGGCGCGCATGTGAAGCATCTTGGTAAGCAGTCGTCCGATGATACTGAGGGCTCGACCAGCAATCGTCTCTCCGTAAGCCTCGTAGATGCCGTTGATGAGACCACCCGCGGCAGGTCCGATTTGTCCCTTGTCCATGATACCGGAAAGCAGTTGGCCATCTTTGACAATGACGAACTGCTCCTCCACGTGAACACCCCAGAGTTTGCCATTCGTTGAAGATTTGGATGTGAGCGTTAGTTCTTGGTATTCTGCGGGCTTGATGTTCTTCAAAACAGTGGTGATGATTTGCTTTCCGGTCCACATCGGCCTAGGCTTCATGATAGCAGGGTTGACTGTCTCAAGTCTACCTGAGGTGGTATGGCCGTCTTCCGGTCGCAGGCAAGAGTAAAGTAATTGATGGTACTCTTCTCTTGTGAAGAATGTGTCCTTGTTCGAAAGCCAGACTCCCATGGAGATATGGTCTTGAATCAAACCACGCAGAGGCTTTCCAGCAGTCGCAGATAGGTATTGATGATCGGTATCCGCTACCGTCATAGCCTCCGCTCGGGCAAGCTCATTCTGGGGGAAATGCATGTTCATTTCGTCACCGTCAAAATCGGCATTGTATGTGTTACAGTTGGCGTAGTGCATGCGAATGGTCTTTTCTCCCGGTAATACACGGGCGCGATGTGCCATCATTGAGGGCTTGTGCAGTGTCGGCTGTCGGTTCATGATAACAACGTCGCCGTTGTTCAAATGACGATGCACCTTCTTATTCCGAGCTCCATTGGAGTATGAATTTGTGGGTGCAAGCAGTTGGTTGGCTAAAGCTAGTCGCTCTTCGTAGTTCTTCTTCTTCAGTGACACTACTTGTCCAAACTCGTTCTCGATGGCATGCGCCCCTGGCCACTTGTCGGGACCGTTCAGGACGGCTTCCTTGAGATCGTAGAAGTTGTGGTTCGTGACAGGCTCTGGGTATGTAAGTTTCATGGCGAACACTGGAGGGACACCAATCTCGTTGGTCTCGATGTTTGGGTCAGGCGAAATGACACTGCGCGCGGCGAAGTTGACACGCTTGCCCATCATGTTCTTTCGGAAGAGACCCTCCTTCTTCTCCAGACCCTGCTTGATACCATCGGCGTTTGTGACTGCAGCGCGGCCTTGCACGGGGTTTGCATCGCGATCGATAAGGGCGTTCACGGCACCCTGGAGGTTGACAAACTGGGTCTGCATGTCGTCGAAGTTACGTTTCCGGTATCCGAGCTCGTTCTCCATGCCTCGCATCTCCTGGCTAATCTGACGGATTGTGTCACATGCTTCGAGAATGCTCTTGTAGAGCTTGTTCCTGGCGGATTCGGCAATAGAGTCGCCCGTCTTATCTTCGGGTCTGTACTTGTTGGGTGGTACGACGATGGCCTGTGTGAAGAACATGTCGGGGTTTACGTCCACGAGAGACTTGGTTCCGTGAGGGCTGTACAGAAGTCGCATCATCTCAGTCTCGCTCTCGAAGAGTAGGGTCATGGCTGCTTTGACCTCTGTCGCGTTGATATACTCTTGCGCACTCTCTGAAACAGCGGATGACGACTTCGCTTTCCGTGCCATGCGGGATTCTGTAGCGAGGAGCGACCCGTCGGCCTGCTGTATATCCTCCATTTCGATGCCCTCGTCCTCGCTCGAGTTGGGATCCAGGTCCGCGACTCCCTCATCCGCGTGTACATGTTGCTTTTTCGCCTTCGCATCTCTGCGAGCCAAGATGTCCAGAGGGTTTTGGAAGGACATCTCTTTTGCAGCCATCTTGGCCTTGTCCTTTTCGCTCAGAGGCTTACGGAAAATCTTGATGCCACGGTCCTTTCGGTACGTTGGGCTGATGCCTGTGCAACTGCCGCAGGCCTTCCGCTTGGTGAGATCGGCATAGAAGTCCTTGATGACTTGTCGCCGCGCATCGGAGATGGTCTCGTTCTTGTCGCGGACAGCACGCGCATCGTGCTTTGTGATGCCGGCCCTCTTCATGCAGCGCTTTACGTAGTTGTTGCGCTGGGTGATGATGTCGGCATTGTCGTCGTCATCGTCATCCTCCGAATTACCGGCGTCTTCTGTCGTCTTGCCCTTTTCCATGCTGATGTGCTCGTGCATTTCGTTTGCTTCCTTTACTAGTCCACATCTTATCAACCGCAGCTTGGAGACGAATTCGCTGACTTGGACGCGAGGGAGCTTGAGCTGGTGGCAATATGCGCACTTGCCCCGGAGCAGTCGCAGCAGCTGGTCCATGAATGTGAGGTGGTATACGGGTACGGGGAGCTCGATATGGCCGCAGTGGCCGGGGCAGCCTTGGAAGCTGGTGAGACCGCATGTTCCGCATCTTGAAGTTTGTTAGCGGAGTGAATGAGCTTGTAGAAACGCGATGAAGCTCACGCATTGTCCAAGAAAGCGCCCAAGGCAGCATCGTGGAGACCGCCAGGTACCGGGTGCAGCAGCGTATCGAAGGTGGTCGGGTTCGTGATGCGCTTCACCGAGAGCGACTTGATGTCGTTTGTCGTCAAGAAGCCAAACTCGACGCCATTTATGGCCGAGGAAGTCGGCTGATGGGTGTTCATGGCGGCGCCAGCTTGTCTTTTGCGCCTATTGTCTGAAGAGATCGCGCGCAAAGGCGTTTAGTGAATGTTCGCAACAGCGCGAGCCTTGCGGGGAGTTTTTTTCGGGACCAGAGAAGTTCGGCCAGGGTTTAGCCGGCAGTGCCAAGGCGCTTGTCGAGGCGGCAGCGCGGATTTCGCGTCACTCTGCAGCGACTGGCTTTCATCATCCACCACACCCCACCCGCCAGTTTTGGGACACATCGCCGGCTACATCCTACGCGCATCACATGTAGTGAATTGCGTCGATTCTCTGCAGCGCTACAGCGACGACATTGCGCGAATCCAACCAAACTTCACACCCGATCCTCCGCTTACGCCAATCACACGACCGACACTCCTTTATCCACTACATCCACCATGACCATGGCAGAGAAGCGCCCCTACCCCGACGGCCAGGGCCCGAATGGAGACGCCAAGCGTGCAAAGGCTTCTGATGCCATCGAAGCCGCGAGGGCGAAAGCCAAGGCAAAGGCCGCTGAGATCGCAGCCCGTTTCGCGAAGCAGCCCGCCGCTGCAGCTCCTGCACCGGCGTCGGCTGGCGCTAGCGAATCAGTCCAGGACAAGCTGGCTGCCATGAAGGCACGGATGGAAGCGCTCAAGGCCGGCTCAGGAATCGCGAAAGCGCCAACACCAGACTCCACTGGCCCTCGCTTTGCGACAACACTGGGCAACCGCCGCTCAGAGACGCCCAAAGTCGACCCCAAGGCCAAGCCCGCTGCCTCGAAGCAGAAGCAACAACAAGAGGAGGAGCTGGAGAATCCATACTTTGACCCCAAGGCTGCCGCCCTTGCCAAGAAGAGAGGCCCTCGTGTCCTGGCTTTCAATGAGCATGGAAAGTACCTCGACCAGGCCTCCAAGCTGCGCGCGCAACGCCGCCTAGAAGAGATCAAGAAGACGCTCGCCATCCAAGCACGCCGCGCCGGTCTGGACGAGAATAGCGAGCGCGGATTCCTGGTTCAGGCACCTCCGGACATCGAGTGGTGGGACGAGGGTATTCTGGCCGAACCTACCTACGAATGCTTGGACGACCCGACCAAGGTCAAGGTTGAGACCGACGATTCCATCATCACTCTCTACGTCCAACATCCTCCCCTTCTGAAAGCACCCCAGGACCAGCGTCTAGTCCAGGTGAAGCCCATGTATCTCACCACCAAGGAGACACAGAAGCTACGCAGAATGCGCCGTGCGGCCGACCTCAAGGAGCACCAAGCAAAGATCCGTCTCGGTTTGGAGCCGCCTCCACCACCCAAGGTCAAGCGCGGAAACATGATGCGTGTCATGGGTGAGCAAGCTATCGCGGATCCTACTGCTGTAGAGATGCTCGTTGAGTCACAGATTCAACAGCGTCACGACGATCACATCACTGCAAACGAAGACCGGAAGTTGACCAAGGAAGAGCGAGCGGCCAAGCTTGCAGCCAACCAAGAGAAAGACGCGCAGAAAGGTCTCTACATGTGCGTCTTCAAGATCAACACACTCGCCTACGGCAAACATCGTTTCCAGATCGACAACAACGCGAAAGAACACGCGCTTACCGGTATCACCCTATTCAACCCCGATCTCAACCTGGTCGTTGTCGAAGGCGGCGCATATGCGATCAACAAGTACAAGAAGCTCATGCTCCATCGCATCAAGTGGCATGAGAACGGGCCACCGACAGAGAACCAGGCCGAGAAGCAAGCATCGGACCCAAAGTGGCTGAGGCCAGTTACTGATACCGGAGACGTCAAGGACCATTCATCCAACAAGTGTATCCTCATCTTCGAGGGTGAGATCAAGGAGCGCTCCTTCCGCAAGTGGGGTTCAAGAGTCTGCGAAACCGCTGGCGAGGCTCGTGAGACACTCGGAAGGGCTAAGCTTGACAGTTTGTGGGCGCTCGCCAAGAGCATGGAGTGAGCGCGTCTTTCATCGAGACTTGACTATCTAGGATTACACTGCATCTTTGGCGACCTGGGCCGACATCATTTCGGACACATACCATTCAGGGCGCTCACTTCGAAAAGCGAATTTGGGAGGTCTTCTCTTCATGCTCAATGTAAGTTTACTCATAACTCCATAGTTTGGAATCTACTTATTAATGCACCCTCTCTTGTTCCAGCCGAGCAATCGTGATGTTGCATATAATCCGTATCCGCCCATTCCATGCTAGCCGAGCTACTGCCGAGCCTGCTGGCAATGTTCTTTCTACTGAGCCTTTAGAAACCTACATGGGTATGGTAAGTGTCATAGCATGCAACCGACACGTGATGTATTCGGCAGAAGTCGAGATAGATACGAGCGTAGGTGTTTCCCTAGTACTCTGTCTTCCTCAAACCACATTACAAGCGTGTCTTCTGTTCTCTCCACTTCAGTTGTATGCAGCAACGTGCCTCTTGAAGTTTTTTGTGAGCTGGATATAGTTGGCGTATACTTCATGCCCTACTTTCAGCCGCCTCGCTGAGTGGCATATTAATCGTAGTTGCAACGGTAGGTTGGGGTGCAACTAGTCACCCATCCATGGTACTGCGATGACGCAGAGCGAGACAAGCCACTCATGACTCCCGAAATACATAACCACCACATACGCAAAGGTACTCCTCATCAAATGAGAGAGATCGCAATCATCAGACGCAAATAGTCAAACCATGGCACCGTCGAACGAATAGCTCTCTTTCCTCCATATATAAGCCGGTAGTCGATGCCTCGATCCTTTACATCCACACAAACACCTCCTGCAACCATCGTAGCTATGTCACGCAACACTGGCCTCCGTCACAAATGGACTTCCGCCTGCAAAAGACTTCCGCAAATCTTCAGCGACTCGCCAAATCTGCACATCACGTTACTCCTCGGGTCGCCATCCATACTATTGTTTGCTGCTTCAACATTTCTCAGGCATAATTACCCAGAAACCTATGCTGTCTGCTACTGGGATAAGCCGGGCGAGATGCGGACCCCATCGCTCGGCTGCCCATACAACAGAGACGTTTTCGAAACGCCCACACACCGCGGCTGGCTAGCCTTCTACGCCCTTGTCGTCATCACGCTTCTACATGGTCTCGTCGCTCATCGCAACAAGCCGTGGCGTCTGCTGCAAGTCACATTTTGGCTTCACGTCCTCACCACGGCCATCATCCGCTGTCTGTCTACATTCTCCGGCTGGACAACACAACCCGACCCCGACTGGGCGAGCTTGATCTGGAACTCAAACTCACCAGGCAAGTTCATCTGGTTATGGCTACTAGTCGAGATGGGGTGTTGGAGTTGGACATATCTCGGCTTTTACGACGACTACTATTTCCGCGAGGCCACGCGCACCGTCCACGACCGAAGTGGCCACCCTGTATGGACTTTCACCGTCGACGAGACTGGTGACAAAAATACAGATGCGTTCACCTCTCCCTACAACCCCATCTTCCGGCCCTGGCGCGACATAGCTGTTCGACTGTCATACGTCCACCTCATTGACAACGCTATCCACGTCATTTGGTTCCGGTACTTTCACGTCGACGCTCCATACACCGCTTACGTCAACAACTCGGAGATGTTGACTATTCTCCTCTTCGTCATTCTGGCTGTATACACGTACGCGCGCATGCGTACACACGTATACTTTGACAACAACACCACAGATCCTCCCGTCGACACCGAGAGCATCGTCCCATTTCCCATACACTCGGTCTCGCGCGACCTTTGCACGTTTGCATCACCGCACCACTTCTTCCGCACGGCGTCGTGGAACCATCAGGCCCTCCTGATCTACACGTGCCTCATGTACATGTTGGACCTTGCGGCGCATGATTGGTATCCCGACCGGCCCGAGTTCCGCGGGTGGCTTTTCAGTTATGGTCCGGTTGTTCTTATAGTAAGGCAGATCATCGACTCGTGGATAGAGTACAATAAGGCGTGGAAGAAGGGTGAAGAAGATGATGGGCAGTGAAAGATTAGTGTGGCAGGTGTGTGGTCAGATTCCTGTTATGGCGAGGCAGAGTGGATGCTCCCGAGAAGAGTGTTGGGAGATGTGGAAGAGTGATAAGGAGGCTGAGGTACAGTGGGCCATTAGTGTAGCAGATGATCCGTCACTCGTGTATCAGCGTTAGGTCGGCATGGGCCACGAGGGTTTGGGGCGTACCTAGGTAGTGTGCCATTGCACAGGGTGCAAGCCTTAGGCAAGATCAAGTCTGTGCTAGACCTAGATCTTAGAAGGATAAGATAGAACTTAACACTATTAACAGACGTTACCTTACTTACAGATTTGTACTTTAGTTTTTAGTTATTCTTAGCGTACAGAATCTCCCTATAATAAGACTTGTTCTTACTAACTACTCTCTACTGCACGCTTCCGCCCGCGACGTGTTACTCACATGCTTCGTTGGTTATCATATCTTCTCTCCACTCCACACCCTTACAGGAGTCAGTTGAAAACAACACCGTTCATCAACACCGCTATCGCCTGTCTCAATGCTGTCGTTCTATGGTCCACGAGAGTTGTGAGGTTATCCATCATGTGAGAGGCCAGCAAGAATTACGCATACTCAGTCCCGAATAACAGTCGATTCACATAGCCAACCTATTTACAAAAGAACAACACGTTCCCTAAATCCAGCCCACACACATACGCAAAGAAAAATAGCAGGTAGTCTAAATAGATTGGGGTAATTAACATCTTCGTACTTGCATCTACACTTCCACCTCTTCCTCCTCCTGCCTCTTATCCAAAACAACATCCCTCTCCATCTACACACCCAGATAAGTCCCGCTGGTAATCTTCTTAACGGTGGCGACAGGCTTCCAGACAATCGCCGGACTAGGCGGCGCATTCTCCTCTGCGTCCGCAAACGGATCGGCTTCGCCATCGTCCTTCTTCGCGGTGAGAGGCGCGCTCATGCTAACGCCGAGACCGCTACCTAGAGTCAATGACTGCTCGTCGCTGATCTCCCAGCGGGCCTCTGTGTTACCGGGTTTAGCTTGGCCGTCGGTGATGAAGCGGGCGCGGAGGGTTTGGGGGGCGGAGTCTTTGAAGAGGGTCACGTCGCCTAGGCGCCAGTAGATGAGGCCTTTGTCGCGCGAGAAGGTACCCGTGGGTTTCGATTGGCAGGATGTTGCTTTGGACCCGGGTTCAAGGCGGATAACGAGGACGAGGTTGCGGACGGTGATGCTGGTTGCGCCACCGAGTTCGAAGCGGGGGTTGAGGGAGTAGTTGAGGATGGCGGAGGTTTGGGTGGGTTCTGACTTCCAGGCTGGAGACAGAATGAGTGGTGGGAGGGAGGCTATGTTGCTGTCTTCGATGTGGAGCTGGTAGTGGAAGGCCACTGATGTCTTCATAATCTTCGATAGGTCAACGGTGTAGTTGCCTGGGCTGTCTGTTGACTGCTCGATGAAGGCAGGATTAGGGGCTACCTTCTCGAGCACGGGGAAGTTTTCCAGACGTATGCTCTCGGTGCCCAATGGACCGGCAGAGACATCGACGGGGTTGTACGCGAGCGCGACCTGTCCGATTACCATGGCCTTGGTAACGTTACCCTGCTCGAACCAGGCGCTGACGGTCTCCACTAGCGACGCATTGAGCCCTGGTTCATGCAGGTCCGGATGTCTGATCGTGGTGCTAGCGGAGCTGCTTAGCGATCGGCCCGATCGGATGGATTGCGTATCCGATGCTGGATGGTCGTCTGACAACAACGCGCGATGGGGAGGCTTGAAAGCTGGAGATGCAGGTTGGGGAGGAATAGCAGGGGCAGGGAATGTTGCTGAACCGGGGCCAGAAGCGAGACCGGAATCGCTCGTTGGGAGCGGAGGCACTTCGCCTATGCTTTGAAGCTCGGGTGCTGCGGGGTTTGGTACGAATATCGTGTTACGAACATCTCGGCGACCACGCAACGTGCTTGACCGCTTTGGCTGGGCAGCTTGCTATGTGGGTGTTAGTATAGGATTGAAAACAGCTCTACTATTACTTACTGTGCGCAGCATGTTGACCAGGTTGGCGGTAGCCGCATCAGCATCTCCATCTTCCTCCTGGATGGGGGCATTCCTAATGTCAAGCTTAAATTGGGGTGGTGCGTTGCCGTCATTTTGTGCCCTGACAATGATTAGCTGGGTAGAATGTCGTGTGTATGGTGATCTTACAACCCTGCTTCCCTCTCGGCTTCGGTGATGGCATCCAAGGCCGATGGTGGCACAGAGAAACCCTCGGCATCTTTCTCAGGCTCTGGCTGCGTCTCTGTAACTGGCGGTGGCGGAAGTGGCTCTTTCAGTTCTGGGATGGACTCTTGGACAGGTGCGGTGCCATTGACGGCGGCTGGTGCATCTGTCTCCACGGTCGACTCCGGTGTGGGGCCATTAGGCGCAACATCAGTGCTGGCCTGCCGGGTAATGCTTTGGGAATCGGATCTTTGAGAAGTGCTGGGTCTCTGCGATTGTCGCAGAGGTGATATCGGGCGTTCCGCAGTAGGAGGCAGCGATGAGACCTGGTTATCACCCTTTTTCGATTTGCCCTTGCCAAATCCACTAAATGCCGAGCCCAAGTTTGAAGAAGATTGTCGGTCTGGTGATTGCGCTCGGCCATACGGATGCGCACTTTGTCTCCTCCTCCCCAATACCGTGCCAAATCGCTTGAGAGGGTTGGAGCTGTGTTTCTCCGGCACAGAGCCACTCTTCTGGCTCCGGTTGTCATCAACTGCGGTAGGGGATGTTGGTCCAGAAGCTGGGGGTGCTAGGGTGCGCGAAGGAGTTGGTGGGTTGCTTGGTTTGCGCGAAGGCTGGGGTGCATCTCCGCTCCGCATTCGCAACGCCCAGGTTTGTATTTCATCGGCGGTTTCAATGTTCAACATGGCATTCAGTGTCTCTTCGGCGGTAGTTCTACTCCGCTCCACCTGGTCTACCTCATGCGTTTGGAATTGCGTGAGCACATCACGCAGGTG